CTGGCTACGTGGGCACCTGGGCAGGCACCCCTCCACCCACACTCCCGGGGGCGAGACCAGTTGGCCGTCGGACTTGGTGAAATGGCCAAGTCCCGGATGTCCCCCAGTTTGGTGACCCGACGGGTGGCCCACTTTGTATGGGAAAACCGACCGACGCACGGGCCACCCCATACAAAAACCGTCCCCCCTCAGCAACTTTCGGACACCCCACCGTTTGCACGCACCCTTCGCACCCAACGATGGTCGGTGGTACTACGTGGAAAGGGAAGGCAAAGACAGGCCGCTCCCCCCCCAAACACGGGCTACCCACCCCCTGCGGTGGGCGATGTGTGCGGAGGGGGTCTGCTGCCTGTGTGCGCCCGCCCCGCCCGCATTTTCTTCCCTGCTAGACGGGCTGCCTCTCCATGGCTCATAGCGCACAGGTCCTCTGGGCCTCGCTCGAGTTCGTGGGGGCAGCCGACCGCCGGCGCCCCTGTTCTGGGGGCAATGGCGACCGAAGCCCGGGTGCTCCTGCGTGCCCGGCGCTGATGGGGTCTGTGGATCGATGGCCGCTGGCCAGACCTGATACATAGATTCCGGAGGGGAGCCGCCCTGTGGTATCCGCCGTTCGTCGGCGTTGTCCGCGGGGCCGGACCCCTCACTCGAGGACCGTATGCCGCAGCCCGCCAGCGCCCGCAAGGGCGATCGAGCGGGGTACACCTGCGTGCGGACCGGATTCCTGGAGGGCTACACAGTGTGGGCAATTGGATGGTCGCAGTGTGCCGCCGGTGCGCCGGGGGCGTCGCTGCGATCGGGCGCTTCGTGCACCCCTTCCAGTTACATACCAACGAACATGCCGCCCCTCCGGGGGCTTTGTGGGCTCTTCCCCGGCGGGTAACACCCCGGGGAGGGTCCTCCATGAACAAGGTATCTGGTTGATTCTGCCAGTAGTCATATGCTTGTCTCAAAGATTAAGCCATGCATGTCTAAGTATAAGCACTTTATACTGTGAAACTGCGAATGGCTCATTAAATCAGTTATCGTTTATTTGATAGTACCTTACTACATGGATACCTGTGGTAATTCTAGAGCTAA